CTCATATAGCCTATAATTATTGCAGATTTTATACAGTTTGTGCAATTAGCATGTAATGTTAAGTATAAATGCAAAATTAGCATGAACATACTTATGCTTCACAATAACCTCCTCCTAGTGAATATTGTCCATTAAAATTCTGTGGCAGTCTAAGTGAGTAAAATCAGTTTAGCTTTCCTCTTTAATCCTGTCACTTATATAGTTGTTTATATCAAAAGGACAAAAGCTGTCCCAAATGCGCACTTACACATAAGCCACCATTATCTTTCTGCTTGTGCAGCTGAAAAACCTAATACCTTAGCTCAATAATAATGCAGAGGGGACAGCTCATTGGTGGCCTAGTGCAAAACAGAAAAATTGCTCCAAAGGAGACCTGCTTATCTAAAACAAATATGCAGGTGCTTCAGTTCAACGTAGGAAAAAATACAGCGAAATATTGTATCCACAAGTGCATAATGTCTCATCAACACCAGTCGGTTATAAATTGCACTATAAAATCCAACACTGCAAAACATGGCAAAAACAAAACAAGAAGCATAATACACAACATAATACAGTTTAGCTTTCAAATACTCTAACATAACTCCAATATTATAGCTATTTTGTCCACACACATTCACAGCCATCTCGTCTCAAACAGTTCAATGCAATGAAAGGCTGATTGATTCACAGTTCTCATGATTGATGTACAGTGCAGGTACAACCAGCGACAGCAGATGGCGCTGTTTCATTCCCAATTTAGACGGATTTAACCAAGGCTCATTTTACTTTTCTTACATCCCACACAATTGGGGCAATAAAGACTTTAAACAAAAACAAGTACATGAACAGTGTGAATGAAGGGCAAAAAAAAATAATTCTTGTCAGTAACAATTACTATCCACTTGGGAATAAGCCAGCAAAAGAGTTCGGACCAGAACCCTTTCACAGCAAAGACTCAGGAGATGCCGTTTACATCCCTTATGAAACAAACTGTGCTCTTTGTGTCAACACTTCAGTGATACTCTGTATTCATAATAACTCTCAGAAAGAAAGAGAAAAAACGATGTATATAGGGCTGGTCTATCCAGAAAACATATTGCTCACAAAAGAAGGCAGAGAAACCTTTAAAACGTAACCCTTCTCAACCTGTTCATTTATCTCACAAATCAGTCTTGCAGGGGGTTTAACCCTTCTACCAGCCTTACTGTAAACTGGTCATGGTTGTGAAACAGCTGCAGTAACCTGTGTAACTGTGTTGGGCAGTTCATCATCAGAAGGCATGCATGAGTGAACAGGCTTAAAAGCTGTGACTACCCACACTGTGAAAAATATTTCCCAGAGTCTAATGTCTCTGTCCCCACATTAGATTGTGAGGTTAGGTCCTCATTACCATGGCTATCCACAGAATCAGGTTGGTTGACAACAGTATTCTTGTCGCTCTCATCATCCATCTGCAAGAGTCAGTTGTCATTGTCTCTCTGTCCTGTATCTCAACAGGAACCACTGAGCCGACTGGATCATTAATGGTCAACGAGGAGCAACTTGACTCAGAATTGGGCACATTACTGGTTGTGATGAAACTCACAGGGAGAAGAAGGTTTCTGTCCTTCTCCTTCATGGTCACAGGGTCTCTGATTGAGTCCAAATTAATTCCAGGTTTCACTAAAATTTTGAAATTAGTAGATGCAGTTTCCTGCATTCTGGTGTACTTTACAGGTTCCTAAACATACTTTTACCTACATAAAAAAACACTTGATTAAATAACTAAATTGGAGACCGATTCTAGTTGAATCATCCTGTTTTTAAACTTASTGCTATGGCTCGGATAATGAAATTATTGTGACAATTTATCCTAAAAAATGACTTTAGAGGAGAATTTTACTTTTATATTGTTTGTTCTTGATTTAGTTTTATTTGTAACATGTTATTGTGCCAAGCATCTGCATGTTTAAAATATTAACTACACAATGAACAGATTGGGGAGATTTATTTTTCTGATTAAATGACAGGTCTCATAACAAACTGACATGACAGCAGCCTTTTACCATAATGACACTGTGTCAAACAGTGGTAATATAAAATATAACTTTCATCAGTTTCATCATCCTGTAAATATTAAGAAAAACTGAAACATGGATGTTTGGAACTGATCAGAAATCTAATGAGTAGGCTACTTTAAATGTTTGAATTGACCATTTTCTGTAATTTACTAGCTTCAGTTTCCTCATWCTTGTCATTAAAATATAGTTTAACTGATTAAAAACACCTCAATAATAGATTCAAACTCATCACTGAACTTAAATTATAGCTTACWTTAATGGATCACCTGGACTAGCTGCACTAAGTTTTGGTAGAAAAAACTGTCTCGTGGAGAAATTTTGAATAATTTTCCAGTTCTTTGTAAAGACTACAGTTTTACCTAAAGCTGGACATTATCAGARGAGTCTGACATTACCTCTTCCACCAGTTGTAGCCTGTAACTCGTTGTTTATGCTTCAGAAGGCAGATAAGGCAGCCCAATGTGAGCTCTGAGCCTGTTATTGACTCTGCAGGTAAAATATATATTTGCAGTTGGGCCTACAAGCTTTCAATCCCCACTGTGAGGTCAGGAATAAAAAATAACAGATAAGCTAATGCAAAGGCCAGAGATTGTGATGTACATTTTTTCTTCTGTAATTTTCTGGCTAAGACATGCACAATTATTAAAACCTGCGAACAACAACACCTAATTTCCCTCTGGGATCAGTAAAGTATTTTTGAATTTGAATTTGAATTGAACCTCAGCAGAGAAAAAAAACTCCTGATAAAGTTTTATAATGTTTTATACAACGTTTCTAGAAATAAAAACACCTCATGACTCATGTCATCACTGGACTGACATAAAATGGGTGGAACTGCCATAATATCTCTTG